TACCAAACTGTAAATATATTCATAAAGTATATGGGTCTGACTAAAATGTATATTTATATGGCATGTAGATCTAACTAAACCATTGGTATATTCAATAGATACATAGATCTTACCAAACTGTAAATATATTCATAAAGTATATGGGTCTGACTAAAATGTATATTTATATGGCATGTAGATCTAACTAAACCACTGGTATATTAATAGATACATAGATCTTACCAAACTGTAAGTATATTCATATAGCAGTTGGATCTGACTAAAATGTATATTTATATGGCATGTAGATCTAACTAAACCGTTGGTATATTCAATAGATACATAGATCTTACCAAACTGTAAGTATATTCATAAAGTATATGGGTCTGAATGAGCTGTAAGGATATTTTGACAGCAGGTAAATACATAAATGTAACTAATAGAAAATGTGACAAATACCCATTAAAGCCTTCAAAATAAAACTAACTCTATACCTGGAGGGTTTAAAGGCTTGTCTGCGTAGCTTTCTTTTTCCATTGCGACCAATGCTGAAAAATGAGCAGCATCGTATGTAAGACATAGTGGTGATCTGTGACATTCTGCAGGTGGACATTCTAGAGGTAAGTAGATACCTCCAAATGGGATCGGAGCAAGTGGTTCCCCAGTGACATCTTTAAGAGTCGTATCAGCAATAATGATCACAGTGCGACGAAGGATATGAGCTAAGGCAAGAACGTGGATCTCTTCCAAACTTTCATAAATGTTAGAGACCTCCTCGGGTAAGGAATCCAAGGTACTGTATATAAAAAGTAACATAAAAATCACCGAGTAAAAGCACTGCTATAACACTTGATAGAACAAAAATCCATAACTTAAATATTCCTTTCAGGAAAGGACCTCCAACTGTCAGATATACAAGTTTTAAGAAAGCAACTACTGTTAATTTTTAAGACTGTGTTAATTTATTCAGATATCTTGCTGTGGCTAACTTGGAAATAATACTATTTTTCATATTTTCTGAACAAAATGACAAGTAAAACCATATTCTGCTGCTGCTCCTACAGAAGAGGAAAAACAGTTGACTCTTTAGAAATCAATAATAAGTTACTTGTGCATAATATAATAAGTTACATACCTGACCATCCAAGAACAACAGTCCATATAGCTTTCTGTTGACATTATTATGTTTGTAATACAGCTGGAAATCGTTGTGAAATTATACTTTAGTTGCTTCAGTGGTTTATTATTAACCTTTTAAATTACTTTCAGAGAAGATATTGAAAAAACATCATATTTCAAGTACCGCAACACTATAATTAACCTTTCTAATCATAGATTGTTTCCATGGTGAAGACAACAAATACTCCTTTATGGATGTTTTCCACCAGATAATATAACTTGTAAATGTTTTATTTGTATAAGTTTTAATATTCATTTTATGTGGTGAACAATGCAAACATTACAGCCTTCTAAGCAACTAAAAAATTATCTGACCAAAACTAATTCTCAGGTTTCTTAGCCCTTCTAAGTCTAACTGCATGTGATAGAAACTTTATAACGTAAAGCAAGTTTTATTTTACCCTCAAATTTTACAGCGCACCCATATGGTATTGTTCAATTTGTATAGTGCACCCATGTGGGAATGTTCAATTTGTACAGTGCACCCATATGGGAATGTTCAATTTGTACAGTGCACCCATTGGGAATGTTCAATTTGTACAGTGCACCCATATGGGAATGTTCAATTTGTACAGTGCACCCATATGGGAATGTTCAATTTGTACAGTGCACCCATGTGGGAATGTTCAATTTGTACAGTGCACCCATATGGTAATGTTCAATTTGTACAGTGCACCCATGTGGGAATGTTCAATTTGTACAGTGCACCCATGTGGGAATGTTCAATTTGTACAGTGCACCCATGTGGGAATGTTCAATTTGTACAGTGCACCCATGTGAG